AAATTTTGAGCAGCATCTGACTTTGTATTCATAGGTTGGAAGAGAGAAGTTCCTCTGAGGATTATTCTGTTATAAATGCATAACATACTATACATTCTCGAAGAAAAAAGAAAAAATATTTTTCTTTACGCTCTACAGAATCGAACCCTTTTGTTGTGTCAAATTCAGTTATTGAAACTTTTACTCCGTTGTTGAAGCTTTGTCTCACTCATTGTATTGGAAAATATCATCATCATTAGACCTTGAGCAGTATCTCTCTTCAAACGTTCATTAGATATTAATTGTTTTTCTTGTACTCTTTTTCATTTTATTGTTTAATAAAAAATACTATAACTGTTTTTTCATTTTCATTTCTTTTCCTCTACACGAAATCAACAGAGAGTGAAGAAATCTTACAAGGGCTCATGGATGAAACAAATAAAAGCGATTATTCAAAAAAGGGGATAAATGTTCTATCTCACGAACGCAAAGTCAAATTCAACTGATAACTTCGGGGTGAAGAGTCATAAACAAGATATGCTCGTCATCAAATGTTCAACCGGAATGGGTATATTCTAATTAAGATACGAGAAGGAAAAAACTAACGCAGAGGAAGTGGCGCCATCTAGAATAACACTTGTTCCGTTCGCGACTATGAAACGAAGCAGTAATAGCACGAATATTTTTAGATAGTTTATATTTATAATGAATCCTAGCCACCAAGGAGATGTGAGCTCAAACTGTGAGTATGAATTGGGAATGTTCCCTCGTCAGCCAAATCTTGACATATAAAGGCTATAGCTCGCTTTAACAGAAAAAAAATACCAAAAACGGGGCTCACTAAATTATCCGCAGTTTTTCTTGTCATATATGAGTAATTATCAATGTTTTATCGTCAACTTTTAGTCGAACCAATGATCATTTGTTGGTCAAAGATGAGCTCATTTCTTTGCCTAATTGGACTAGGCATGCACCGAACCCGAACGGTTCCAGCTTTTCCCAGGACTACGTAGTCATGAACAGAACCCGAACCGTTCGGGTTCGGTGCATGCCTAAATTGGACTCGCGAGTCCCGATCAGTTAATAATGTTCATTAATTACTTATCAATTTACTTTAGTGAGGTATCTCATTCTGAAGCTTATAGGACGCAGCTGTAACCGTATTAGAATATTTCCTGAAAATTTCACATGGATTTATCAAACTGTTGCTAAGTTACTCACGTCTCAATATCATTTTATGGTTTTGTTGCCTACCCATGTGACAACTATCTAGAAACTATCACTGGTACACTGATCGCTACAATGTGCACTAAAACGACGGTTTACCTCCGATTTGTTTTTGAAAGTTTTGTGTCATGGTGCATTGTATCAAAACGGATATACATTTTTGGAGTCAGTTAAAACTGACAGTACTGGGTCGTTTTCGATGCACTCGGATAAGGCTTATGCGTCTGACAGTGGAAGGTCGCCAACTGGTAGTTAAGAAGATTGATCATATTCGAGTAAAATGAAAGCTCTCACCGACAAACTAACAAATTTTAAATATTACGTCCACATAGCGTACCTGAGAAACTTACTGAAATTTCAATGACAGTGAAATTCAGGTATATAAATGGATCAAGAAAGGCTTTCTCCACTATTGCAAGGATAAAACATAGTGTTTTTCGGACCGATTAGGGATTTGGAGGAGCTCTCTTTCATACGGTCCGAACAACACTATGTTTTGTCCTTACAATAGTGGAGAAAGCCTTCCTGATCCATTTTTATACCAAAATTTCACATACATTGAAATTTAAGTAACTTACTCTAGGTACGCTATGTGGACGTAATATTTAAAATTTGTTAGTTTGTCGGTGAGCGCTTTCATCTGACCCGAATATGGTCAATCTTCTTAACTATCAGTTGGCGATCTTCCATTGTGAGACGCCTGCAACTATTCACAGAGCTCAAATATGCTCCAGTTATGAGATAAGTGTTTACTTTAGGCAGAGCTGCAAAAATTTTTATTAGCAAAATGTGTTCTGAAACTGCTTTCTTGTCGGTTAATTTGAATTATTTGCAATAAATAGGTCGAATTCAGATAGAAAACGCTCTCAGCAATCGTTTATAGCTCGACCGAAACTCATAAGCGCTACCATTAGTGAATTATTGATGTACCAGTGGTGCTTATGAGGACTGCAGTATGCTTGCCGTAGCACAAACGAACGTGCAACAATGGTGTCCATGTTTTCAGTGAAGTTCGTCCAGCTCAATAATAGCTAAATGAACTTCGATTCAATTTATACCATAAATAGCTAAAATGCATGCTACAGAATAAGCGATCGTACAACCGGAAAATCATTTCTGTTCTCGAATTACAGGATTTCTAGTGATCATGGACACGACCAATTATGACTCCGTTGTAGCTTGAGCATTTTGATCCAGACAGTATCGCTAATCTACATTATATGTGAACCACATGTAGATGAATTGGCAGACTGTTAGCTCTTAGGGGGAATAAGATCCCAAGAGGGAAGGTTTTGGGCAGTACTGTACTAGATAGCTTTATCGAGATCAATTGACTTCTATAATTTTCATCTTCTAATTCGATCGGTTTCATCATAAAATTGTGCTTTTTCTGAGGGTGTGCCTGTGAATGCGTGTGGGCGTAGTTGAAGAGTCAATCAACACCTACACCTACACATATTCAATCTTTGAACCCTTATCTATTCTCAGGCACAGCATTGTCTGGGAGTCACTAAGATTGAAGCGGGGGGGGGGGACTACTGAGAAAGTAAAATTTACGACATTCGAGGGAGTCGACACTTATTGCAGGGATTAGTGAGCACAAAAACATGAAAAAAATCATTCAATTTTGCCGAAGAAAAACGAAAATTTTCTAAGATTGGGAGGAAATTCACTGTCCTTAGCCCCTCCACTCAAGATATCCCTTGCCAGGTTCTCGTATCTGATTAATAAATTATTTTTTCGTCCTTTTTGTATCAGTCAACATAGCAATGTCTCTACGTTTCGGAACAGTAAAATCAATTTTTCTGTGATGTATGTAACTTGTGCTATGAATGATATGTCAAAAGACGTTTTGTTTCCACAAAAGCAGGCCGCTTGATGGTTACACGTCTTTCTTCGTAAATGCATGGAAATTCTCTTACGGTTCAGCGACATATTTGACTACTAGTCTTGTCGACTTGATATCGATCACATGGAAAAGTCTTGATCGAGTTCTTGAGTCAACAAATTCTCTTTTAACATCTTCAAAGGATCAAATTGGTGAGTAAGGCAATAAGCAGCCTATTAAAGCCTTATTTTCAGAAAGAATTCACTGTACGGCATTTTGTGGAAGAAAAATAATAAATTATTAAGTAAGGTTCAAACTGTAAGTGTAGCATATGATTCGTCTGGCACATAATGAATGGCATATTAGAGACATTTTGTGAAGTAGTTTTCGGTAGTGCATAGTGCTAGACAAAAATTTAGACCAGTTGTATTTCTCAATGTTCTCCTCGATGATAATAGCTAGTAAGAATATGAAAAAAGATTTTAGTAGCACAAAGAATTTTCTATCAGGATTTTTTTTAACTAGTGCTTTATTTTTAATCAATTTGTATAATTACAGAAACTAGACCGTAAGTCTCGGTTTCCAATCGCTTCGCGCTTTTACAAGTAATTTGCACGAATCAAATTTGTCAAACAGTCGAGTCGATCAATAAACAGTTCGCATGAAGTAATCAACTAGCTGTGTCGCGCAAAGATTATTGGCTTTGATCATCGACGACACATAGAATAGTGCTCCGACAGAGTATCGAAACCCTAGAAGCTGACTCAAGAGACAGACGACGATGCCGTTCATCCAACCTAGGCTTTCTATCAGGATTTGTAGCCCTAAAATCCCTAATGAAACTGCTTGGATAAGGATGTCTGAACAACCAAAACTCCCAAATACAAATTTTCTGGCATCCATTTGAAGCTTTTGGGAAATTGTTCCATTTCATATGGCAAATAATTCTGATCAAAATGAAATGTCTCGACTCTCTTCATGATTTCCCTTCATCAAACTGCATTTAATTTATAGAAGACTCCCAAGAGGTGAAACACGGGAAAATCATGGAAAAAAGGGAGCGTATAAGATGTCGATCTTGGGTCATATAATATTTGGGGTGTTGGTGTGGCTGGGATCCTCTCTTCGCCCATACCTAGAGATGCAACGGTGACGGAAACTGGTCTTATCGGTAACCAGTTTACCAGTAGCCGATCCTTATCGGGATCCGGCCTACTGGCAATCAGTTTTCATTGGTATAAGCCTGCATATACCGGTATTAGCCTTAAATCGACGGTATCAGGCATATACAAGTAGATCGGGTTCCGGTAATGACTGATTAGCGATAGACCAGTTACCAGTAAGAGACGGTTACCGGCTTATGCCCGTAAAATAATGACGGCGAAACGGTGATTTACCGTCACCGTTGCATTCCTACCCACACCATGTCCATACATTTAAGGGTTTAGATGTAGAATTAAGGGCGACCCATGGAATTAAAGGATTGATTATAGAAAAAGGGATTATATATAGAACTAAAAGGTTAGATATCGGGCAAAAGGATTCGACATAATAATAAGGGTTCAATTGTAGAATTAAGCATTCTGACATAAAAATAGGGGGTTAAATGCTTAGAGCAATCCAAGAATAGTGGCGGAGGTACTTTATTTTCTTATAGAAAGCTTTTAAAAAAAAATCTTTTCCCCAATGTGTAGAGAAAATGACGTTCTATGTTGCTATCCCATTCGATCACTATTTAAAAAACGCTATTAACCAGTCTAGTCAAAGTAAGAAAAATAGAAATAAGAAGATAAGAACTAATGAAAGAATGAAATGATACTAATACTACAAAAAAGGTATGTTTATCAAATTTAACTAGATTTTATGAAAGACAAACAGAAAAAAATAACAATGAAATGCAGAAAATAGTTCTTTAAAGTCAAGAAAAATGGAAAATCTGAAACAAATGATGGTAATGTATCAAGAATCAATTATCACCTCCTGGTTCATAGTCATTATTATCATCATATTCATCTTGATCACTTTCCATTTGTTCAATTACGGTTAAATTATGTGAGATATCATCAAAATTTTCTTCACTTACAGTGTGAAAACTTTCATTATCACTCTCGTTTGAAGAAATACTAGTAGCGGTTGCTGCTGCTTATGATGTTTTCACATGTTTTTTTTGAAGCAGAAGATTTTCTCATTACATCGAGTTTACAAAAACATGCAGCAGAATAATGACCCATCGAAGAAAAAATAGTTGTCAATAATTTATTCAATGATTCATAATCATCATTATAAATAATTGTCGATAAGTCCAATCCAATAGGAAGCTTTATCGATGAACAATAAAGATTCTTTGGAACTATTGTCCACAGTAACGAATGGAAAGATTCATTGGCATTTTGAGAACCACCACCTATCACACGTGCTAAACTCATGTGTACAGAGCTCATCGAACACTGGCTTGATTATATCTAAACATGCACGTGGAATGCATACTTGTGAATGGTAGTTAAATCTTTCACTATTTTCTGTCGCTTGCAGATATTTGCACCACTGTGAATTACACCACTCCTGTATAGGTTGTTCATCTGTTGAATAGTGGTGTTTAAAAATTGTCTATGATTGTTGATAAAGTTTATTCAAATCAGTTTTACTTTCACATATTGCTTTTGCAAAGTAAATTTTAAATTTAGCAGCTTGTGCATTAGTCATACGGCCTTTGCCACTAAGCATTTTACTATCAGATCAAATTTTATTCTTTTTATCTATCTTGATCTTCATGATGCGAGTCAGCATTCTTTTGGCAAAGTGATTCGTATCCTCATTTTTTTAATATTCACATCAGAATAAAGGGGACTATTTACCAAGTATTTATGCACTTTGGCATCACCATCGCGGACATAACAAGTATATTTGATTTTATATTTTGACAATGATCGACAAAACATCTTATGAATTATCTCTTTTTCTATTCCACTCGATTATCCAAAAATAAAGAAATTTTCATGAGAAGATAATTTATTCTACACACCAGGTTACCTGTATAATTCAATTGACAATCATGATTTTCTTGAGAAGCCAAGAATAAATCAGGATTTGCATAGCGCAGACTCTCTGCTTCTTGACATTCAGAATTTTTTTTAGATGACCAGGTCGTATCTAATACCTTTGGATGGCTTATTGTTGAACATAAAGCTGCAATCTCATGAACACTTGAATAACCTTGTGTAAGCCATGCACCATCTTCACTCACTGTTAGCTCTCGTGCATCACCCACTTCGACGATTACTTCTTCAACAGCAGCAGTCATTGATTCTTCTTGAGCTTTTGTTACATGATGCAAGATAAATTCTTGTGCTTCACCATATCTTTGTTCTTGAACTGGTGGTGGTAGATTTAAAGCGCCTAAAAATTTCCTTGTACCACCACGACTTAAATTACACAAAATGTCACCAATTTCTAATCGAATATTAATTTCCCGACGTCTAGTATTCTGTATTTGTAGTGATGAATGTAAATGAGTGATAAACCCGCAATTAGAACACATGAATTCCATATGCACATATAATCCATCTCTTTGCTTGATCGATGCTGATCCATCCCAACAATTATTACACTCAAAACATAAAGATTATTTCACCAATAAGATCAAAGATTTCATATGAATAATTAAATAATAATTCGTCACATCATCAACATCAACTGTACTTGATGTAAATTGATTTTGAACGGACATGACTGGATCTTCATCAGTGTTTGCTGATGATGAATCAACTGTTTTGGGCTTTACATTCTCCGATCGAATCCGTCTTATGATGGATCGTGTACTCTTTCTTTTATGCCGAATGTTTTCTTTACCCATTGAGATTTTTTCTATTGTTGCCACACAAATGTCTACATTTCTTATAATGAGTAATAGTAAAAATCGCTAGCGCAAATAGATTACAACACGAGTTTTTTTATCTATAAATACAGTGCAACGATTAAAAATAAGATATTATACTTCATGCTTTTTCTTATCTTTAAAAACCAGCAAGTAAACCATGATTAATAGCTTATTTTACATGGGTGGAATAAAAGTGAAAAATCTTCGAATGTCTATTCTACCAATTTAGATGTAGCTATGAATCAATGTTTAGTAGTTTCATTCCATTCTGTACTTTTTAACGTTCAACCGTCCTATTCAATTAAGATGTTGAGTGCCGCACAACAACCATGCAGGTTACTCTGAAAAGATGAAAGAAAAGCTTGAAAGATCTTAAAAGTCAAAGCTTTTAGAAAAACTGTTATTTTCTTTTCTGGGAGTGTTCAAAAAAACCTTCGCAATATCCTTAAGCCTCATCATAAAATCAATACACTATAGTGCATTCGAAAGTAGACGCTTAGCTCTATCCAACGAGCTATGAATCACAAAATTGATGGATTTGACCAAAATTGACTTATCTTTGGGGGGGGGGGGGGGGCTTAACACAATGCAGAATAATATTTGTGATGATTCTTTTTCTAGGACTGTAAACTGAGCTGATGAACAAAAACAAAATAATGTGTTTTTTTTTAATCTTTCGTGAAGTCATCGACAATTGATAAATAAATAAAAATTAATGTTCTAATTTACTATTTCGATAAGGTTCAAGTGTTCGTATAATTAACAGGGGAAAATCCAGTTACATGAATAAAATCAATTTTAAAACCTCTTTCTGCCAATAATATGTATAAATCACTTGGACATATATCATTCATAGTGTTTCTCAGACTTGTTTTCATCGTTCTAATCTTTGAAAGCGATCTTGCACCGGCAGCTGAAAAGATACGTATTTACTTTGCAACTTGTACTTTTAAAGCAACACTAGGAAAATCTCCTTTGTATGGCAATAGTTCAGACTAGAATTCTTCCACATTCGATAGTTTTATATTTTTCAACATTGATCTTAATATATTCGATTTATTTTCGAATATATTAGGGTTTTTTATCCGAATGTATAACAGCCCTAGGGAAAATCTTTGATGTTTCAGCGCCAGATCCTTGACAGATACGATCAGGACATTACAAGGATTCGTTGTTTTTTCCTGAAAAAACGACTAAACCCTGAAAAAAGTGTGCAGCCACGGACTTTTTGCATCCTGACAGGATTCAAAACAAGATTTCTTGAGATCCAGACAAGATTATCAGTGCTTTTCAAACCAAGATTGAGCCAGGAAATCAATAATTCCTGAAAGAGCCATGTAGCCAAGGAATTGTAGGATCCTGTCAGTATTTCAATAATTCAAAATTTGAAAAAAAGATTTCTGATCACATCTTTTAGGATTTGACTCGGTTTGCTCGAAGATATTATCGAATACCTTGACAGGATCTTTGCAGGATTGGACTAAGTTTCCTTCAGGATCTTATCAATTTCTTGGCAGGATCTTCACAGAATCTTCTAAATAGAACATAAGAGAAATAAACATATAGAGTATCGATCTCTAGACCTTCAGTTTACATACCGATCAGCTTACCCAGCTGGATGTGCCATGACATTCTATATCACTTTAACTTTCAATATCTTAATTTCTAACTCTAATGTAAGATGCAGGTAATTCGAACTTTCAGTAAACATTTTTTTCTGCGTTCTTTTCTACATCATTTGATAAAACGACACCTTTCCAGTATTTCGTATTTTTCGACCGGAAGGAAGCATTTACTAAGACTAAAAGGTGATTTTTCGTGATCAACAGCTCACACTCTATCAAATGATGTAAAAAAGAATGCAGAAAAAATTCTTACTGAAAATTCGCATTAACTGCACCTTATATACTCACAAAGTTCCGTGACTAAAATCATCATGGTTGAAAAATGGTGAAGTACACATTGAATGGGTACTGAATTGACTATAGCCATTTTTTAGATGAGGTGCCTCTATTCTGATTTCAATACCTCGACAGGGGAAAGTTTTTAGAAGAAAAAATTTTAGGCGTTTTCACATCTGATCTAAACTTACATACATGGAAAGTTTCATTGAAATTGGTGATATCAATTGAGCATCTCGTCCGTCATTCTGGTCGTCTGTCTCGTGCAATGTCTCCTAGGCGATAAAAGGGTGTAGGTGTGGGTATGAGTCCTCTCCTCGATCACACCCCCCACACACACTCACAACCACACCCATATTTACACCAGCACCTTCGTCAAACGCAAACCGACAAATAATCATCCTACACATATGTTTTTTGAACAATCTATATCATTGTGAGGAAATATTGTGGGAAGATGACGTCTATCCAGTCGACTTCGGATCCTTTGACGTATTCTCCTTCGAACTTTACTTACTATTAAGGCTGAATATCTACTCATTGATCATAACTGAGTGCAACTTTTTAGTCATGTAAAACAAGATTCTAATGACATACATATGCCTATTTATTCGCTGGTGTTGTAATCTAGATATTCAATTGTGTTATATCATAATGATAAAAGTGAAATTATCCCATATACTTAGTGATTTGTCTTGTTCAACAGATCTTGCATGCGTGTTTACAATATGTTTCGCTAATATTTCAAACAGATGATAGATTTTGTCCAATACGTCAAGGATTTCTCCACCTAATATCAATACAAGTGTGATATCAAATAATCTAATCAAATAAAAGGAATAAAAATTGCTAGAGATATTTCTAATGACTAAATTTCGATTTTTGATTACGAATAGCATCGTTATAATGAATTCTGACATGACGAAACACGATCGTCGAATGCGAATTATAATCAAAATTAGCTCTAGTACTGAAAAAATCATCGATTATATAAAATTAGCTCAATTTTAAATGTATAAAAAAATAGGTGATGGTCTTTAAAATAACAGAATTTTTTCCGACAACTTTTTGGCGTTGACTTACTTTAAACTATTTGGTAATCTATTAGATCGAAGTCTACTCTGAGCATAACAACAAATTTCTTCCAATGAAAACATCTTTAGATGAACAGAAATATTGTAAGATTTGAAAACTTCATTTTGTGTTCATAGGTTTTTGTTTCAATTATCCCATTCAAGTAGATACCTTGTTAAAGAATGATTATCGTTAAAAAAAGCAACTTTTTTATTGTTCTAGAACTATTTCTCAAAGACGAAGAACATGTTCGTTTGACTGAAGAAAAAGACACAAACTCTGATGTGAACTATAGGTCGACTTTCCACCTTACTACAATCGTAAGATTGGTTTCTGAAAAAAGAATTTTATTATGAAAAATTTTTGAAAATCTAACTTGCGAATAGTAGATGTTTGATCATTTTTTGCTACTGTTATGTAGACTTTTCTTTCAACGGAAGACATCAGAGACATGTCTACCAACATTATCGTGTACGGGCGACATCTTTACTTGAATTGCTTTTGACATGTCCGTTGTGCTAATTTATGCTCGGCCTAGCATATGTAATATTTTTACTTCTTTGAAACATTTAAATGAGACTCGGCGAACAAATTACACATGAACAGCATTTCTCATTTTTTATTTCTCGCAAGAAAAACCTCCAGATGTCTCCGATTATCGTTACCAATAGTGATTAGTGATATTTTTGTCTTATCAGAACATATGTTTTGACAAAAAAGAATGAAAACGATCGCAATTAATTCTTATATGTTTATGACGCAGAAACATCGAAAAAGTTATTCATTATGAATTTAATATTTTGCCATCAGATTTTTAAAACAGATGAGTCACTCGTTTTAGATACAAAAGTTCTTTTAGTGAAATTCAATGTTTTGAAAGAAAACAATTTGTGTTTCAAAATTAACAATGGAAGCCTTGCAAGAATCGAACAATGAGATGGACACGTCATCAAACATTGGTCCTTCTTCATCTTCAGTAGCGAGAACTAAAATCAACTATAGACCGATGCCTAATCCATTATCTGTATATGTACCTTTGGAGTCTCTAACCGAACAGACTGTCATGTCTGTAGTTGCGACTACGTTTAAACATGAACTACCAGATTGGAACGATAGTAGACGTACTTTATTGGTATTTTTACTTGCAATTAACGAAAGACTCAATGAGATTGAAAAAAATAAGGTTCAATTCGATGAACAAACTCTTAAACATGCTATCGAAGTTCGTCAATGGCTTGTACGAAAAGGAAAATCAGGTCAAACTATGGAACTTGATTGGAATGAATTACGAAAAACTTACGATAAAATGATTAATAACAAAAATACCAAAGAAGAAACATTTCTTTATATGAGAAACGAAGAACCTTACTTTGAGTTGACTATTGATGCGGTAAGTTTCTCTAACAACTACGAAGAAACATTGCATTGAACTACATTAGTTAGGAACAAAAATAAATGATTATGAAAAAACTTTTTATGAGAACAGTGAAATTGAAGTAAAATAACCATGAACTTTTTTTTGTATGAGAAAATCCTTAGGGTCCATATAAATAATGTTCTGGGATAAAAAAACCTTTTAAAAACAAGAATCAATTCATTATTTCAGATCTTGTTAGAGACAAACATGTACTACTATAGTCAAAAATGGGCTTTTCTTTTAAACTTTCAAATAGATTCTTTCAGAATCGACTTCATTAAAATTGTTAAATATACATCAAATCTCCTTAATGAAATCCGTCACATATTTATCAAACATCGATTTACAACAATATTTTTGTTATTGTTTTTGCTGTCTAAAACTAAATTTTGCTTGTATCTGTTATAAGAAAAAAAAATCGTTTTCAGCACCAATAAGCATTAGACATGCATTATACTCATACCATTTTTATTGTGTATTCGAAAATTTGATTATAAGGTTTCAACATTAAGTATTCTTGTTCAGGGACATCCTGATATAGAGCAATCTCGTAAATACATGACTCGCTTTCGCAGCAATGGCTGGGAACCTCATGAACTGAAAGTGTATTGGAATGAAGAACAGCTAGAAATTCTCTGTCCAAAAGATGGGCAAGAGGTTGAAAAGACAAGACTTCCACCGCACGATCCTTCAGATGTTGATGTTGTACAAGCACTTCGTCAATATCCAGTTTCGAAACGAAATCATGCCGGCACGATTACCTATATCAATAAAGGAATAGAAAAGGCTGTTTTCGATGTACCGAAAGATGCTCAAATTATTCTTCTCAACTTTGCCGTAAGCTACTTTTTCTGTTCGAATAGTATGATTATGCTCATATCTTGATTTATTAGAATGAATGTTCACCAGGAGGCGGCTATTTGCGTAGAGCTTGTAAGTAATATTGTTCTAAAAGACACTAACATTCCATGGTTTGGATTAACTGTGACTCTTCGCGGAAATTAGACTGTGCCTCCCATAACCTAATGAGCATTTTCTAGAACAATATCTAAAAATATTACCAAAATTCGAAAAGATCGAAATTTAGGAATGAGAAGAATGATATTTTCCCTGAGTTTACAATTCAGCTTGTTTTTTTATTTGAAAAAAATACGTCATGAGACTTCGAGTTTCTATAATAGGTCTTGATGTTACCAAAAACAAAAAGACTTCTATTCATCTCTGTTTTCAAAATCAAGCAAAGTTTATTTAGATGTCCTAATCTATGTGACACATCATAAGTGTTATTTTTGTTCAGGGGCACAAGAAGAAATTATTTTGTATAACTCGGATGGTTACCGAGCATTGCTTGATCTCAAATATGGACGAATGGGTGGTGGTTATGCAATACCGGAATTTGGACTAGCTTATGTGCGTGATATTTGTTTTATCGATAAGGACACTGAACAATGCCGCCAAGCAGATATGTTAGTGTCGGCATGTTACTGTCTCGTTTATCCTCAACTTTATGATAATCCGACGACTGTAGATGAGGTAAATACTCAAAATCAAAATTATTCATAATTATATTCAGTGCAGAATTTCGAACTTCAATACTTACCAATTATCGTATGCTAGGAGACTTTCAAGAATTTTGTTAGTGAAAAAATTCTGAGTGATACAATATCATAAACAACTGAAAGAAAAGGGATCGAAAGATGCTATATTTAATTGATAATACTTGAGTTTTTTTTTTATGACATCCTAGAAGGCATAAGAATTAAAAAATATCTTTTTATATTAATATTAATCGTTTCAATTGATAACGGTCTATTACTTATCCACTGTGACATTGATTAAGGACAATGAATCGTTTGTCTTCTGACCTAATAATTTTAATAGTCATTAAATCGTTTGAAATAAATGTGGCTACTTTATTGATTTTAGTGGATAAAAAACAACATAGCCAAATTTCGTGCATTCATATCGGCAGCTGTTGCTAATACGAAAGGTGACGGATCGAACACCTATCTACTACTTGGACCGATAGGTACTGGTGCTTTTGGTAACGATGTCAATCAAATTGGATACGTCTTTCAACATGTACTCACGTCGCAGATGATGGGCTCTAGTGGTCCAATCAGCAAGGCTTTCAGTAATATTTGGTTTGTTTCTACAGATGCATGGAAGAACGAACTTTTCGAGAAAATTTTATCTGATGAAGAAATTCCTGAGGTCGAATAAAACGATCGAGTTTTTTCTATTGCTTGTCGCTTTATTGAAAGGTAGCTTCAGCATCTTTCAAAAAAAATATTCATACCTAAACACGAATAAAAGGAAAATTGGTTAACTCATTTTTTTAAAAATTTATATTTATGTTGAATTGTGTAGCTTGGGTTTTATAGTCAAGAATCAAATCGAAATGTTTGTTTCTCTAATAGTCTTTATCTGGTATAGTTCAAATGTAATAAAACAGGGTGTGGATGAATACAATTGTAATTCACACCCACACCCCTGTAACCTCTCACCGATATTCTAGTATAAGTATCAAGCCGAATCAAGTTTGCGACCTGTCTGATTGGAATGCGTTGATAAACAGTTATTCACGGATTTATCGAACCAAGCGACTTTGGGATTGAGACAAAATTACGCTTCTAAAACAGTGCTTCTTATTTTTATTGATACCTCTGGTGACTGTTTTCCATTATCGTGAGTCACTGGCAAATATTGTAAAAACAGCCGATATCATAATGTGAATTCTTTTTCCAGCAAAACCTTGTCTTGGTTGCAACATATTGTTGGCTTCTTTCACAATGGTAAACGGTGTGGGTGTGGGGTGTGTGTGTGGGGTATGCGTATGGGGCGTGGGGTGTGGCTGTGGCTGTGGCTGTGGTGGGTGGGTGTGGGTGTGGGTCACAGTGGGCTGCCAGACGACAAAATCGAGATTCGAACCCGTATCGTAGCTAGCATTGAAGCTACTATGGTCCTGTCTTTAAGTGCATCTTGGATTTCGATCTATAGCGAGTATGTAGTAAATAGCAGGTGCCACAACGTACGTAAAATAGGTGAATACCATTAATAATACATATAAGTAAAATGTGTGTTTTAAATTAAGGATCTAGCTATATGCGTTAGTTATTATGTAGTTATACAGTGTTATATGTGTACTATATATTACAGACCGTTTGGATTTCTTGAAGATCTTTAGGCTATAATAAGATCAAAAACTTAGCATCAGTAAAGTGAAAAATAGCTAGTGACCTATAATACAGTTCGTTTGCTGGATTTTAAATTCAAGTTGTAATTTATCGTTTGATAGAACATGCCATGATCTATCTTCAGTAGATGCACAAAGATGCGCCATTAAACCCTTGTCGAGATATTTGATTTTACAGCATTTTGTGACACAACACCGTGGTCACCCTAAGGTTCACCGGAAAAATCAACTTTCGAATTTCGACTTGAAACTTTGCGCAAAGAAAGGTCTCAATGAGGCTAGTTAATCCTGAAAGTTTCAAATTTCTTGGCTGCTCTTATCCTTAAATATGAACATTTAACATTTTGTGCCATAAATGATGTGAAAAAGAATATTTTTTCTTATACTCGTATCTCGGGATAGAAGGAACCCCAAAATCCAAAGCTTTCAAAATAAACTAGTCTCATTGAGACCTTTTTCTGGACAAAGTTTCAAGTCGAAATTCGAAAATTGATTTTTCAAGTGAACCTGAGGGAGACCACGGCTTTTGCTAAAAAATGCCATAAAAATTAAATATCTCGACAGAACCAAGCTATAAGCACGAACTCTTTTCAGAATGCTCATAGCTCACTAGAGCCTTCATAATGCACATAGTCTCGATTCAAAAGCGATTTGCAACTGGAAATTGCTCCTGACCCCCTTTTTCTGCCCAATGTGCCCCATACCCCACAACCACTCCCATGCTCACCCCCACCTCCACTCCCACACCCCCACTCCCACACCCCCACTCCCACACCCCC